TTATCTCCTTAATAATTTCTCTCTCTGTTTCCGGATCGGCATCATTTTCTCTTTCTTTTTAGGTTCATCGACCATTTGTTTTATTAAACGCTCTAATAATATCCTTTGTATATTATTGCCGTCTTTCGATATCGGTATCTTTTTCCGTTTGTCTTTCGGTTTCGGAACTATTTTCTCTTTCTTTTTATCTCTGATTTTGGGTAACAATAAAGTAGTATTAGCATCGCTTATTTTTCGTCTTTTGGATCTTTCTAGAGTGGTGCTCGTCTGGTGCGTTACATTTTCTTCGGACAACGGCGCATCGCTAATATTTCGTCTTTTCGAAGATGTTACCGCTTGCGGTGTGGTGTCAGCCTCGTGGTGTGGATTGTCGCCTGTGGATTCGTTACCGTGCCGTAATACCGGCATTCGCTTTGACGACCTCTTTTCAGTATCATCATCATCCTCATCATCGTTACCGCCAGCACCACCATCTTCATAATCGACATTATCACTAGCAACGATACCGTTAGCGATAATGTTGTTGTTACCACCACCACTGGCACTGACAATACCACCACCGCCACCGTCAGCGTCATCACCATTATCGTAATTTGGACTCGGCATAGTTTCGCTGTGTAGCACGACATCGTTTCTGGACTCGTTATCCGATAACGGCATTTGTTGTTTCTTGGACTGATGGTCTTTCTTATCGTCACTGTCGCGATCTCTCTCGTTTAGAAGTGCCGAGGATGCGCTCGTGATTTCTGCTACCGTCTGCGGCTCTGTATCGTCTTTCTTATCGTCACTGTCGCGATCTCTCTCGTTTAGAAGTGCCGAGGATGCGCTCGTGATTTCTGCTACCGTCTGCGACTCTGTATCGTCTTTCTTATCGTCACTGTCGCGGTCTCTCTCTTTTGGCTTTGCCGAGGTTTCACTGGTGGATTCTGTTTCCAATTGCGACTCTGTTGAGCGTGTATCCGTACCGTCTTTTTTTTTTTCCTTTTGCGATGGTAGCGATTTCTCATTCTTGGATCTCTGCGCTGTGGCTGTACCACCGATGTGGCGCGTGGTCGTATCGCCTGTGGTGGGTTTGTTCGTATTATTCCTTCCCTTCCTTTTGCTCTGTTTTTCGGATGTAGGTTGCGATGCGGTGGTACCCCTGAATCGGCGCGAGGAGGTGGAATCGACACCGTGCTGCTGTGACGTCGACATTCGTTTCGTGGGCTCGCTATCCGATAATAACAATCGCTGCGTCTTGGGCTTGTCGTCGCGTTGTGTATTTTTCCTTTCTCTCTCCCTCTTCATTTCTGGTAATGGTGTTTCGGCATCCGTACCGTCATCACATCCCTCGGCAATATTTGAGAACGGTCTTATGGTACTATCAGTTAGAACATCACCTCTAGGGTCATCGTGTCTCTTACGTTTATCGTCACTATTGTTTCTATCATCAGCACCACCACGAGCGTCATCACCATCAATATTGTCATCATCAGAGATATCCTTTCTCTTCCTGAGATTTGGTGCATTGTGTTCGTCTGTCTCCATCATGTCTCTCCGTGTAACTTGATGTATGTGTATATCTGTCGTCATGAAATAAGCTAAGGTGCGTGAAAGAAAATACAAATACTTATAGTATAGCCAATACGTTGTTTTATTTTACTATATCGATCGACACGTGTCAGTAAACACAAATGCGTCAGACAGACTGGTGGTCGTATACATCGCGTGATCGAAAGAAGAGTATCCGGCAAGGAAAATGTGCGCGCAGACGGGTCGCGCGCAAACATCCGAGTGTACATTAGCACGGAGAACAGGATACGCACTACGGTCAGCCACCAGACGTTAGCCCCAGAAAACCGTTCCACTAGGATTCGTCGTCCAACAGCTCTGTCGTTAGAATCGTCGTCCGACGGCTCTGTTGTTATTATGACAGAATACTCTTCAAGGTGGGAAAATCGACCATTCCGGGAAGATGTAAAGAATTACCATATAATCGAGGGTGACATATTTGCCGATAAATTCAGAAAGAAAAACATCTGTATATGTCAACAGTGTAACTGCATAACGTTGAAACCGCACGGTCTCTCTGCAGATATAGTGAAACGTCTTGGCGAATACGCAAACTCTTACGGACGCCGTCGGGCAAAACCGAATACCAGCAACACCGCCACTCTCGAAACGAGAGCAAAGCCCGGATCTATTGACTTCTGCGAAGGAACTCCCTGCGTTGCTAATCTCTTTGCACAATTTTTCTATGGCTCATCATCAAACGTTCAGTATCTTTCGAGAAAGTATATCGATCCGCATATAAGAGAGGGTGTCAACAACGATACTGCAGCGAAACGTCTAGCGTATTTTAGGTCCTGTCTGAATAATCTGATGCTCGATCTGCGAAACAAGTACACCTATATCGATACGGTCGTGTTTCCCCATCGGATAGGATGCGGGATGGCCGGTGGTTCGTGGGCGGATTATCGAGATGTCTTACTGCAATTTGCCGATAGATTATCGGAGGACAACATCACTGTGTTTGAAGTTCGTAACGATGCCGCTATAGAGGCGACGAAACGATATCGTTCTAGACATGTAGAAAGAAGGTGGAGAGAAAAAGAAGGTATAACCACCGACTAACAAAGTTTTGCTTTCATTTTCTCTATAGGATGCAGTCTCGTCGAGCCGGTCTCGAAGATCCATCTACACCGAGCGAAGGAAACGCCGGCTTCGATCTACGATACGAACCGGTCGAAAGTACCGGTTTCGAACAACCGCTGATGTCATCCATACCAGAGGGGGAGGAGGTAGAAAGAGGAGAAGAAACGGACCCCGACGACCTATCGTTACCATCGGTCGAAATTAACGAAGCGGATCATCGGTCGCACACGAACGAGAGAGGTAGTCTAGAACAGGCGACAGTTCGATACGTTGACCAGCGTGGAGAAGAACACCGAGTCAATGCAGGAACGGTGCAGCCGCCACTTTCATCGCTCGGGTCCGGACCAGTATCTTCGGATCTACGCGCACGAAACTACCACTATGCGATAGAGCCGGTGAATTTACATCGGCCGCAGCCGCAGTTGCAGCCACAGCCGCAATCGAAATCGCCGCCGCTGCCGGAATTAAAGTTACTACCGCAAATTCAGCACCGATCTCATCAGATGCAGGCTCAGGCTCAGGCTCAGGCTCAGGCTCAGGCGCAGAGAGAGCCGACCGAATCCCATGTAACCGACAACAACAACAACAACGATAACGACAACAGCCACCATCATCATCCTCATGGTCCTCATCACGTATCATCGAGAAGAGATAGGAGAGCCTCAAAGTCATATCTTTATCGCAATCACTACCACCACCACCCCGAACAGGCACATCATCCGCGCCAGAGGAACGATCCCGACGCTTTCGCGCAACAGAGACGGTATTCAGAAAGACGATACATGAAGCGAGAATTGACACAAATGACACAGAGATATGTCGCTCTAAAGGAGGAATACGATAGGTTGGTGACCTACTCTGATGTGTATAGGAGAGTGTTGGATGATGTATTCGTATTAGTCTTTGAAGCTTGCTTGAGGAACAACAGATACTGAAGAGGGAACAACTCTACAAATGTATAGATGCGGTATATCGTCTATGCCATTAGAAGGGAATATATTAACTTTTAGAGATTAGTCTTAGGAACGCCAGGAGGTAAAAAGAGAAGGAATTTATGCATTTTCATGTATACGATATATTGTTAATGTAATTTCTGTTACCTATACATACACACACGTGTGCGATATGCTGTCTCTCTATGTAATTTCTGTTTAGTTGAGTGAATAAAAAGTAGTATCTTGAGATTTTTTTTTATCGTAACATCGGAGTAAAAATACAAGACGGTGATACCTATGGATATATTACATCTAACTCCAACTAGAAGTGTTACTCTAGTCAACAGTGTGACCGTATAACGTTAAGACCACACGGTCTCTCTGCAGATGTGTTGAAACGTTTTGGCGAATACGTAAACTCTTACGGACGCCGTCGGGCAAAACCGAATACCAGAGTATCCGGCAGATGGGTCGCGTGTGAACGTCTTCGCGTACATTAGTACGGAGAACAGGATACGGTCAGCCACCGGACGCTAGCCCCAGATAGCCGTTCTACTAGGACTCGTCATAAAAAATGGACCCCGACAACCCATCGTCACCATCGGTCGAAAATAACGAAGCGGATCAACGGTCGCAGCCACGGCCTCAATCGAAATTACCGCCTATGCCGGAGTTGAAGCCACTACCGCGAACTCAGTACCAACCTCCTCAGATGTCTCAGTGTCGATTCCCTCAGATGACTCAGTACACATCTCCTCAGATGACTCAGACTCTATCTCTGAAAACAACACATAGTCCAACCATTGGGGTATTTTTAAAAGAGGATGCACAGCCAATCACCCTCCGGGATTCGCTCCCTTGGCTTGACGGGGGGATACTAGAACCAGAATACGATGTTTTTGTCCGACTCACGCGCAGAGATAACCGACCGATTCCTATGTAACCGACGACAACAACAACAGCGGCTCGCGTGAGGAATAATAGGTACTGAAGAGAGAGCGACTCTACAAATACATAGATGTGTCGTATCATCTGTGCCGTTAGTTATTAGACATTAGTCCTAGGGGTGAATTTATATACGTTCACGTATATATGATATACGTTTCGCGTAATCTTCTTTTAACTATATACATACGCATGTATACGATATGTGTAATATGCTGTCTCTCTATGTAATTTCTGTTTAGTTGAACGAATAAAAAAGTAGTAACTCGAATATTTTTTTTATTGTACCATCAGAGTAAAAATACAAGACGGTGATACCTATGGATGTGTTACATCTAACTAGAAGTTTTACTCTATATATTTTTTTGGTATAACACACACGCGTACGATAACTTTATCTTAACATCAGAGAAGAAATACAAGACGGTGAGGAAATCTATGGATACTGTCACGTCCAACTAGAAGCGTTACGTACGTACACATGACACTTAGGCGGATGACGAGTTTGCCATGTCATTTTCCATTTTATCCTTGAGTTTCTCTAGCTCCGCATTGATATATTTACTATATGTTTTTATGGCCTCTAATTTAGGTTCCAATTCGCTTAAATGAAATTCTAGCTTTCCTAATATTCCACAAATGTTTCCTGCGGTATTTGACAGTATCTGTTGGGCAAGAGCAGTGTCAGCTGTAAATGGCCTAAGCCTGTAGTGGGCAATGTTCTCGTCGTCATCGTTACTGTCGTTATCGTCGCCATAGTCGTTACCGTTGTCATTTTCTACATCGGCATCATCAGATTCAACATGGGGCGCATCTGCTTGATGTGTGGCTTCGTCTTCACTTAATCGCGAATATGGGTCCTGGTCATCGTCATCATCATCATCATGATGGCTATTGTTATCGTCATCAGACGAATTCGATCTCCTCACTTCTTTTCCTCTAGGATCGCTGTTAGACATCTGGCACTTTTTTTTTCTGCTTACGGGATGCTCTTCCTCTGAGTTCTGCTTTCTTCTCTTTTTTATGTGCATAATCGCTACCGGAGAGTCCAGGCCAGATTCTGTGCTTTCCGAGAAACAGTCCTCCATCGCTCCGTGCGATTTGTCTTTATTCGATCTCTTTGCTCGACTATTATACGTTTCCTCTCTCGGTCGTATAGTTTTGTTTATTAGTTCGTGTGTGCTAGATAAGATAAAAAAAATATACATACGTATATACATGCAGCGTACGGTCTTTTCTCTTGTCTATATTCCCCCCAAGTTCATGAGCGTCGTTAACAGATTCTTACACAAAATCGTGAGAAATATACTCCTCTCTGCG